ATGTTTGCAGTAAGCTAGTATATTTTTTGTTTATTAACAGACAAAGTATGCATTACTCACCAACAAAGCTGGATATGACTTCTTAGCTATTTCATGGAGGGACTGCTTTAACTGAAGGACTAAGTGATCCCTTATGACTCTAACAGAAAAAAAATTAGACAGAGAAGTAGCTAACATTAAATTCTAGGAGTCTTACAGACCTCTCACTACTTATAGTAAACATAAATATATAAATAAAAATTCTAAGGTCAGGTGCTCTATATGCAAGCACTGAAGCAGAAACCATTTCCTACACTTTCAATAATATTTAGCACACAACTTTTTCACATGGATTTATAATTGTGTTTATTTCTTGGATTTTTTAATACCTCATTCTCTATGTTGCAATCTTCATAACTGCATGTTGCAGAAATATACAAATGATTTTGTAATTTATTTGGAATTATCCCAGGTTCATCTGTTAAACTCATCAAACACAGTGTGAACACGTCAAAGCTGTATATATTTGAAAGAAGAATTCCAGGTGATCTAATCACTTCAAAAGGAAAAATTTCTGGTGTAAATTTGAAATGGCTTTTCAGGCTGCCCTGCACTTGTTTATGTAATATTTTTAGAACTATTCTTTCCACACAGTATATGTTGCGTTTGTTTCAAGGGGCTGCAGATAGTCAAGTTGTGTCACAGAGTAGGAATGGTAAAAAGTAAAACATGCTTAAGAGAGTTCTTCCTCACCATCTGTGTGTGTAGATCTCAAGCTGCCATTGCTATGATATCACATGGAAAAAATGCAGAGGGAATTTCTAACACTCATGCTAGGTAAGAAGTAACAGTTGCAATTTTTTTTTTTTCAAATGTGCTGTGTCTTCTTAAGTACATCAACTAGGAAAGCTGCTAGTCTCTAAATGAATGCTATCAGCTGCTATGTTCCTCACAGTGATTTTAGAATTTCATAAAAATGTCATCAGAAGTTCTCAAAACTTAATATACACATGCAGTATTTCTCTTACTCCTGCTTACTCATCATTTACTTGCTAGTGCTTATTTGTTGTTATTTTAATTCCACTGTATACAGATAAAATAGACTTGTTCTTCTTGCGTATTTGAGCATGAATTTGCTTTTCCTGCCTAATTTGTAAATCTGGGCAGTGTTTCCACTGCTTTCCTTGATCTTCAGAATTTTCCTGCTGTGAACAAGTGGGAAGACTGGAGATGTAGTCCTGAAACTGCTCCTTGACTTTTGACCGGAATAAATTGCTATTTATTTTTAACTTCCTTTCCTTCGTCTCCTTCACGAACAACCAAGAGGAACTCTACCCTGAATCACCATCTTTTCTAAGGGAGGTAAATTATATCCTGGTAGTTATTCAGAGTTTATTTTCAAGTTTCGGTCCTACCAATCTGAATCTGAGAAAAAATTAACTAAAAAATTAACTAAAAAATTAACTAAAACTAAATAATAACAATAAATAAATTAAATAAACTAAATTAACTAAAAATTTAACTAAGTCTAAGTGGTAAGATATCTACTGCTGCCTGGGAGCTAGCAGGCTCATCAGTTGCCCTAGGGCTATGCAGACTTGATATCTCAAACCAGACTGGTTTGAACCCATGTGGATTGAATGAAGTTCAGAAAAAGAACTGACTACTTCAGGACTGATTTCATTTTTTGATTGGCACCTGATTTTGGCCTAAAGTAGCGCCAACTTTGCAGTATCATTTTTTCCTAACTGTTGGGCAATGCCAATTCAGGGAGAAAAGCCCAAAGCAAGGGAATTACTGTTTCATCCTATGGTTCATCTGTACACTGTTGCAGTGTGGTAAGCCTACTAGAGTTTAGAGCTAAGCTAAGCTTTATTCTTTTAAAGTCACTGGAGACCTACTAGACAAATGGTGTTGAGGGAAAGTCAAACATAACTAGCAAGATCTAAATCTGTGCTGAGTGGAACGTTTATAAAATACCAGGGCAAGAGTATGAGCTTGTAAATAATCCTAATGCCCTACCCCTTTGGGGAAAATATTGCACACCAGGTATTATTCATTTCTTTATTGTTTTCTTACATTAGATGAATTTTTTTATTGGACTAAGTGGGCTTTATAGTGTTGATTGTTAATAAAAAGATCTGACTAGCATTGTCTTTCTGATTTAAGTAAAGAGCATTTGCTTTTTATACTGACTTTATGAGACTTCTGTGAGCTTTGGTGTTGCTGATATAGTGAGGATGTATGGCCGTTTAAAATCAGATTGTAGATATCATGTGACAAAGTAATTTTTCTGTCAACACAACCTCAGGGAAGTTTATTTTGTTCTGCAAAAAATTGGGCACAGCTTGCAAAACAAGGCAAAAGTCCAATGAATGAAGACGGGATCAATTCCAGCTTTTCATTTGTATGGAACAAAGAAATGAGCATGAGCAAAGACAGATCTTAGAGTAATCTTGTCTAAAACGAGCATCCTTTGATAGAGTAACATGGTAATTATGGGCTAATTGCCACTGTGATTGGACAATAGCGTAATGCAATGACCTTCCTAGATTCCTGTTCCTAGGTTGTTCCTTGTTAAATTTCTAAGAAACTTCATGATCTTTTATTGAGGTTCACACTTTGCTTTATCTATTTTTGTGCTATCCAAAGGTATTTGACTATCCATGGTATTTATATTTCATCCAAGAATTTTTGTATGCGTATGTATGTGTACTTATCTATATATAAAATTTACTCTAAGGATTAAGTCCAAAGTTATTTAATCGTCAGGCTCATATCAGGTGACATGCAACATTAAAATCAAATTAAGGTAGGCAGTGTAACTACTTTGGAAGGATACCCCTGACAGTTCTCTTTTCTTAATAAATTTTTATTTTAACCTGTTCATGTTTAGCATCTGCTGTCTCCATTTTTAAAGATGGAGAAAGGACATATAGGAAGAATTTTGCTGAAAATTAGGTGAAGTTTAAGTCAGTCTGAAACTGTGAATCTCAGACTCTCAAGAGACCCAAGTGCTGATTTTGTGCCTTTGCATCTTGAGAGGGCTTAGGAACCTCGCTGGGACATCCAGAAGAGGCTTTTCTGTAACGAGTTTCCATGACAAGTTTAATCAGATTGGCTTTGTTTGGATCTAATATCCACCCACAGATGCATTAAAAAAAAAAAAGCAGCAGCCATGCACTTGATTAAGGAAAGCTGCCATATGGTGCCTATGTGCCCCTTCTCCCTCTCATAAGCAGAGCTCCAAACCCAGAGTTCTGTGGGAGAACTGGGTTTTATTTAAATCTCAGTCTGGGGGACAGACTCTCCTCATCTCAGAAAAAATACCAATAGCTTAACTACTACTTTGTAGGTTAGAATGGGTTAGGGATGCGCTGTACTCCTGCTATTAACACCGTGACCACTTTGCAGTGAAGTATCTATCTTCCATCTAAGCAAATGGAGGAATGACACTCTGGTAAAGGCATTTACTTTTTTATTCATCCTAAGTGGTTGGATAAAAATACAACAAGAATCGAAGAGGCAGCAACAACAATCAGTGGCTCGTAACTGCTCTCCTTGTTCACTGTGTTTGTGGGAGAAGTTAGGAAGGTATTTTCTAGGACAGCACTACGAGCTGCAAATCCCAGAGACAAAGAGGCATCTCTCCTGCCTTACACACTTCAGTCTTGCTTCTGCTCCCATGGCTCCTTATGCATTTTACATTCGATATTTAAAAGATATACTTGCCCCTATTCAATAACCCTAGAAGAAACAGAACTGATGTTTCTCACCTTCTCTTCTGTGTAGAAATTTATCCCACTAGATACCAAATCATATTCTTGGTTAGCTCTGTGGCTCATGTATTGCTGCCTGTAGAGCTTCAGTGAGACAGGTGAGGGATGCTCCAGTGCCTAGGGCTTGCTCCTGGTATGTAAGGATTATGGCTTCATATTTCTCCAGTAGACACTGATATCCTGTCTCCTCCTTCCTGCATACGAAGCTATTATGGCAAAGGATACCTTCCTCTTCCAGAAATGTTTTATGAAAAAAACAAGAACGTACTGATCAGATGTCTGATGTAGGTAGCTATGTAGTACAGGAAGTAGTTTTTGCTGTGAGCATCCATCTCCCAGTGGAGTCTCTCACATAGATGCTAAACCAGTGGCAAGGGAAACCATTGTGTGCAATCTTCTCTTCCCTCTCCTCTCCTCTCCTCTCCTCTCCTCTCCTCTCCTCTCCTCTCCTCTCTTCAACATTTTCTTGTGCATGTCCCTGCAATTGTGAACTCAGGTCAGACGTGCCCAGGTCCCTAGTATTTCCTTGCTGGGACAGAGGTACTCCGTTCAGCATCCCTGCAGTTGGCACGCTTTACAGGACAGAGCACCACAAATGCTCTGTTACTTGGGCTCAGGCTCCTAGCTCATGGTTGTGGTTTCAACTAGTTGACAAGGCTCCTTTAAGAAAAGGGATATTTAGCATTGCAAATCATGAAGACTTTTGTGGCTTGAACTCTAAGTTATTCTCCATTCATCACTCAGAGACAGCTTTGGCAGAACTGGGTTGCTGGCTTGTGCTGTAACTGGTGGAATTAAAAATTCTGAAACTGCTGAAATCCTCTTTTGAGCCCAGGGATTAATAACGTGGCTGCTGTTAACTGGGAGTGCTGTTTCTGTGCCACAGTAAAGAGACCAGCTACTCAAATACTCAATTATTCTGTCAATGTATTCCAGATCTCTGGGCACCTCTCCTCATTCTCTTTTCTGTCTCTGATTCCCTCCACTTTACTGCATTTTCCGGCGCGGATTCATTGTGTTCAGTTCTGCTCTGGGGCAAGGACAATGTTTTATTACAGACACATTGAAATATCTTGAATGTCCCCTTTTTACACCTGAAACAACAAAGAGATTGAGCCAAAACACAAGACATTTCTGAATTTTCTGAGTACACTTCATACAAGGCAAACCTGATATGGAAAGAGATCTGGATCTTTTATTTTTCTTTTTGGTGACACTGATTGTTTTCTCTTGCTGTTTCAGGCTTTATTTAAAAGGTCACAGTGGAACAGCTGGAAAGCAGAGTAGCCTGATCTTACATGGTGCTGAATTCAGTACAAAAGATGCTGACAATGACAACTGCATGTGTAAATGTGCTCTCATGTTGACTGGAGGTGAGTACAATCCTGAAAATATGTGGTACATTGATAGGAGTCTACTCTATTTTCCTAAAGCAACCATGGATGAAGTTGCATTCATGGATGTGTAAGTACTGTGTGAAAATTTCTCTTATTATTATTACTCGTACTCTTTTCTGTTTATATATTGTGGTAGTGCCAATACCTCAAGATTCCGATCAGCAGGGAAGGGATTATTCAGAGATGCAGTCAGTGTACTTCTGCACTGAAGCTGTTGCAACAATGTCAAGGGGGAAAGCATAAGTTAGTGGTATTGTTGAGGCAAGAAAGGCAAAGTAAGAGGAAAGAAGCTAAGAGATGAAGAAGGGGAAAAGAACTTTGTGAGAAGTGGGAGAATCAGCCAGAAAAAGACAAGAGAAAATGCAGGGAAATAGGTAATAGAAGGTACGGTTTAAAAACAACCAGAATCTGGACTTGCAATATATTATCTATTTCACTTAGGGGTGTGATTCTGTTATTGAAGTAATTATAATGATTCAGCTTTCTGTCTTATATAAGCATAATATATATATACATATAGACTTAGTTAATGTAATGGCTAATTTACTCACTTGTGAAAGACTAGACCTGCAACCCCCTGTTCAAATTGTGGCACTTAGCGGTTCTGGAAGATTTAAAACAGTACCCTTAGTGAGCTGAGTCAAGCTGCAGAAGGAAAGAAAGAAGAGTCGAGGTGGGAGAGAGCACAGAGAAGTTATACTGGGACAGTTTAAAGCACCAAGTCAATCTGGCTGTCAGCAAGTATAGTGTATATGACTGATATTTGTTCCCTCCAACGCAGAGGAGGAATATCTGAGATTATCTCCCTATAAAGACACCTAAAGCTCTGCACAAGAGTGAGAACTTTCTCTGGCAAATGATGCTTATTCCTAGTCCGTATATGATCAAGCTCATTTTTATCTCTAGGAAGCCACATTAAAGCAGAAAGCTTAAATTGGGATTCTTTGGTTCATTAACTGTATGACCAAGGAAGGCCCTTATCTTCACATTTGATCTTCTTTGGAGACTCTCCCTCAGTTATTTCTAACTTTCCTGGAAAAAATCCTATAGCATAAAAATTATTCAGTATTTTGGATCAGACTGTTAAACTGATATTATTTGTGGTTACTGGCACTCTGACTGAATCCAGCTCAGGCCACATTCAGGCATATATGAGCCTCTAAAGCTATCATCTGTTAACAGAAGATGGGTTCCCATCACTGGGAATTTATATCAAATGCACAACCTAGCTCCTCATTCTCTTTTGCTGATTGGAAATGACCCAGTTGGGAAAGTCTTTAAGGAGCCAATTTTTCAAACTTTCATAAATTCCTCTAGTGATAGTGATATTTTATTAAAAGTCATCATGGGAAACTTCTTCCAGTAGACAGGTGATCAGACGCTACCTTTCCATTTCTATAAAAAAAGAATCTAACCAGATAGTTCTGAAGACAGATAATGGATAAGAAGTCAGTAGTTTATTTTAGTTAAAACTGTTGACCTTTCCCTTTAGAGACCATGCTAAATTAAAGTGTCTTACTTCCAGGGCAGACCAGAGTCTAGTGAGAAGCTCCTAAATGTGGGTTGTGTCCGTGCTGAAGTGCAACTCATTCATGTATCCGACCTTCCTGGAAATACCTCTGCTCCCAGACAGCTAATTCTGGGAGCTGAGGGTTTTGTTTATTTTTCTGCCCTGACTTCTATGGCAGGTCAATGCCCCGCTAAGGTCAGTCTGCTGTTGAACAACCATTCCACAAGGTTCACATATATTTTGCTGCAGCAGTCTTGTAAATCAACAGGAAAACCACATATTGGAATACACTGGTAGCAAATGAAAGGAATAAGGAGGAAGGGGGAGAATTACCAAAGGCTGAGGAAACCACAAATAGAACAAATCACTGCACAGTAAAAGGAGATGCAGCTAGCCTTTGGAGATAGATGAGTCTAGTCCAAAAGACTAGACTCTGAGTACAAGTCTTGTGGAGACAGGCTGTACAACACTGAGTAATTTGTGGTTCTTCAAGAAGAGAAAGACTTTAATCATGCTAGAGTTCTCCTCAAACACTCTGCTATGCTTTGCTCCTTGAAATGACTTTCTCATTCCTTGAGAAATACCAGAAATTGAATTAAATACCAAAACATTTGGTTAGTGAGTAGATTTCAGTTTTGTACCACAGACAAAGACTAATTAAGAAAAGTAGCAATGATAACAGGTTTTGGAAAACCCTTTTTTTCCAGAAGATATCAGGATCTCTGTTAGTTTTGGCAACATCACAGAGAGCTCTTTAATGATGAATGATATGAAATCTACAGGCAGGTTTCTTGCTATCTTGACAGTTTGGGTGAGCCTGTTATCTCTATGAGGTGAACTGAATATATTTATGTCAGGAATAAAGGCTGAGATAAGCTGAAGCTCAAGACTGTGATATGCTTACAGTCAAGGCTGAAAATAAAAATGTAAGGAAAACACACATTTCTCTCTGTGATCTTACTAGTTGTCAGTTTTATTTATATCAAAACTATTATTCTCTCTCCTCCTTTCTCTCCTCCCTCTTCCCCAGAATAAGAAATTAAATACTGGGAGAATACTACAGTAGCATCAATAGTGTCGTGTATGTGTGTTTCTTGTCCTTTCCAGAGTCATGCTATGCTACTTGAGTCTGTCTTAACGTTGATTTTAGGGAACAGCTTCAAAAGTACATGCATGAGCTGGATTCTTAGCCCCTGTGAACTTTGCATGGTAGTTAAATATTTTAGCTGCTTTTTTGTGCCTTGGAAAATTTAAACTAAGCATGCTTGGTTTACTTTAAAGGGAGACAAAGAATATTTATTCAAATAATTTCTTCATTTAAACTTAACATTTGTCAAAACAGTGAAAAATTTTTGTATCATGAAATACCTGTTAAGAACTGGTACAATATCTCGGGCCAGTAAACTGAACAAAAGGTTATAACCCCACATCATTTCAAGCATTATTCTGAAGAGTATCCCAATGAGCTACATACACAGCTTTTTGCAAGAAACAGCACTTAAAATGTAACAAACTGTGACCAGAATGAAACACTGAGTAGATGTCCAAGGCACTTCAGATAGATTTCCAATAGCGGAGCACTTAACGTCTCTGGATCAGATTTGTGGGCACGAGGCCAAGTTAGAGCATCCTGCCAGGATACCACATGTCAGCTGAGCCCCAGGAATTGTTTGTGCAATTGTTTTCAGTCACTGCAAGGTTACTTATGGTAACTTGGCCCATAGTGAAAGAGTCTTAAGGTGATTTGCTTTGCCTTGCGTTGGCTACAGTCTGAGATGTTCACACAGGCATTTACCTTGCTTCAGGTGATAAGCAAGAACATTGCTAAACTTCTGATCCCTGAAATAGTTTGACAAAGTGTCAGGGAGACTTTCTAGATGTCTTGCTAGTATTGAAATGGCATAGAATTATTGAAATAACTTTTTTTATTTTACTTGAAGCAGAGGTCCACCCAGCCGCAGTCTCAGTCTCTGACAGCAGTCAGCAGCAGGTGCCTCAGTACAGGCATAAGAGCAATGCAAATAAATTATACTTTCCCTGAGTATTTTCCCAGTATCTTTTGCATCTCAGGGGCTCCCTGAGTCAGAGGCAGTTCCCATGTATTTAGTAATCCTCAATGGATTTGTCATCTATGAAGTGAGAAACTGCTCAATGACAATCCCAAACAGTGATGCACTCATTGCGTATTGTTTCACTGCTTTTTTCTCCCAGTGGTGAATTTAAGAATCTCCGGCAAGAATGCTATGGAGGATTCTTGTCATGACTTGGAGGGAAGTTCTTGGCTGAATATAGGTATCTGCCCATACATTATCCAATTAGAAAAAGCCAGTTTCTCTTATATTTTGTTTAAAACAAAAACTTCGAAAGTAGCAACCTCAGCACACTTAAAAGTATCCAACTTGAACCCTGTGGATATACATCTACTTACATAGGAAAGCATTGATTTTTACATTTTATGCATATTGTTGCTTTCATAAAGAAGTTACTTATAAAACACCATTCATGAAGTATCATTTATATTACCTAACCTAACATTTTGATAGAAAAATATAACCACCATGCAGATAAGAAGTGATTGGAATATTATTTGATTTATGCTGGAAATATTAGAAAGATTTCATTAGACATATGACTACTCAGCACTTTTAACAAAATCATTACTATATTACTGTGTTTATCAGGGTTAAGCATGGGCAATAGTAACAAAGTATTAGGAGAATACCAAGAAGTGACTAATTTGAAAATTATTCTGTTGATATATTTAGAAGATCAGAACATGGTCACCAGTCTGCAAGTTTCATGTTATTTTTACCTCATAAAAAGGTCCTCATATAAAGGACTGTGTTATCCAGTTGATATGAAAAGCTAATGCCTTTTTGTCTTATATCCTGACAGCTAAATTCTGATTTAACCTTCAGAATGTCAAGTACCAATTGCTAAGTGATAGTCTGGTCAATCCAATACTTTAACAAATAGAAGAACATAGGCCTGGAAATGACTTCCAGAGCTTATTTAATCCCTCTTTAAGACAGACTCTTCTCTACCTATTTATTTCTCTCTTTCTGTTCATCTTCAAGATCTGTAGTGATAGCAATTCATTCTCATAATATAATCTGTTACTGAGTTTCGCTACAATTAATATAAGAAATCTTTAGTTGTTGACTAAACTAATTCTATAATAATTTAAGTGTGTTCCATCTTGTCTTATCCTCCATCACTGGAAAGAATAGACCATTCCTTTACATTCCTTTGAAAAGCTGCTTTTTTGAGCAGTTTTTTTTATGAATTTGAGATAGTTGGCAATCTGTCTTTTGAATTCTGGACTAAACAACCCTAAGTCTTTCCTCTGACATTTGCTCTTTTGGACTCTGTCCAGTGGATCCACATATAGATTGAAGTGTCATCCAAAACTGCACCCAGTCTTCTAGCTGAGAAGTTACCGATGCAAAGTCAAACAGAGCCTAATTATTACCATCTAACTTCTTTAAAGTACAGAATGTCAGAAACTTTGAAATCTTTTGTAAAATAAATTGTCATGTCTTTTGAACAATGAAGACTGTTTCAATATTTTTGCATTAGAAATTATTCTTATGGGCTTTGTTGCCAAATGCACTAAATTTTATGGACAAACCCAGAGGGCTAGAAATAAATATTGGCTTTTCATAGGATACATTTATCCCATAAACCCATAAAAATGTACCATTCAAACATACTTTGGATCTTATTGAATGGATTGTATTGATCTTACTGCATTTGGAGGCATTCAGTGTACTCAGGAGGGAGAGCAGAGACAGATGTGTGAAGAAAGGGTCTGCCATCAAATGTGCTGGGTTTAGACACCTATTTTAGTATGTAAAAGGCAACTAAGAACCTCTCATCAAACCTGAGTGATCGTTAGCAAGTTCCCAATGCACGTTAGATTTACAGTGCACTCATGAATTGATGAGCACTAGGTTACTAACAAAGAATTTTACATACATTATTTAGAAGAAATCTATGATGAGAGTTGAGCAGGTTCTCACAAAAGGTTTATAAAATTTTGTGTTTCTTTAACTCATTCAATTTTAGACATAGTTTTTGTAGGGCACCACTGAAAACCTTCTCCCTGAAAAGGCCATTTACACATATATTCCTGTTGCTTTAAAATGAAAAGCTAACTAGCACAGCTTGCCATGTCTTCCTCCCAACACCATAAACAACCCAGCTGCATCTGTGTTCCAGCATTGAAAAATGAGGATTAGATTTTCTCTGCTTAACTTTGTCTTAAGTTTCTACAAGATTATACTCTGATTACAGTAAAATATCAGCTGTACAGCTTTCTCTTTCTTTGGTTATTGCCCCTTAGGTATATTGTTGTAATTAAAGGGAGGTCAATTGCATCAAAATAGAAGTTTGCCAGAATTTATCAGACATAAATACTTCCCTCAAGATTTCATTATGAAGTGTTACTTCTGAAAAAAACCCACTAAGTATTACCCAAAATCTAAGAAATTACTTTACAAGACTAGAAACATAAATTACATGGATCTGAATACAAAGGACAGAGTAAGCACTGGATCTGAAGGCTAATCATGGTCAATATCATATCAGCCATAGTAAAGCATAGTTTAAAATACCTTCATACAATGTATTCATTATAGGTAGATAAAAGGCCAACCACTGAATACAAGAAAATTGGAGGATTCACTGGGGCAGTGCGCATTGTCTAAAAGGAGCTTCTCACAGATTCCATTTCCAGAAGTCAGAGTGGGAAACACACTGAAATTTTAAAATTCTACATTTCAGTCCACAGTGACACCTGCAGAATTCAGTAGCCACTCACTAGATGATCGGTTTGTCACTACCAGTGGTGCTTGAAAAAGGTTTGCAGGGGCTCCTGGGAAGATAACAATGCTGTGATGTGCAGGCTGAAATAATTTTTTAAAATAAAGTGGCATTTAACTGCCAAAAGCAAAAGCCACCACCTGGTCTTTATGATCTTATTTGCCTTCATACACGAAAGCAAATGTTCAGTACAACCATATTACGTGGAAAGATGCATGGCCTGTGTTAAAGATTCACAAAGCCTGTAGGTCTTACTATGAAAAAAAAACCAGCAGAAATCTTTCTGACAAACAGAGTTCCTAGCCATTGAGGTTAATATATTTTTGACATTGGGAATATTAGCTCTTTGCAGTCTGGGGATTCATTCTGCCTTCCTCAGGCTGAATTAAGCATCTTTCTATTACATTACATAGATACCCTGTAAGGTGTTAGAGAGAAAATTCTATTCCCATCAAGATATACAGCAAAAATCCCACTGCTTTCAGTGGAGTCAGCATGTCACTTAGTTTATCTTTGTCAGTTTGTGTTCTGTAATCTTGGTGTTGCCAAGTTTCATGTTATTTGGAGTTTTTCTTAAAACTCTAACTCCCGTGGAAATCTAAAATTCACCTTGACAAGAAAAGATCTTGGGGACATAGACAAGAGAGTTTACTGATTAATTTCACCTTAAAACAATTTAAAATAGATCTGAAGATTCACACTGTATTTCACCACTGACTCAGTTTTCTCCAATGGTTAAACACATATATACATATCTTTACTACCGAAGTCTAAAGGTGAGATGACTTTTTTTGCATACAGTTTGCAACCTAACCTGAGCTTCTAGCAAGTTTGAATTTTCTGCATTCAGTCATACAAATGGTAGAAAAACCTCTGTCATTGTTAGTAATATTCACAAGTACTTGATAAATATTTCTGGTTTATTTTCAGTGCTATGTTAACAGAGCACTCACAAAGGTGGAGGTACGGCTCTACATGCATTTTCTTTGGCAGAAAACGCAGGTTGAAAAGCTCCTGAGCTGTTACACTTCTTCTTTATCCTAACTTCTCAGTTTACTATTCCTTCAGTTATGCCAACACAGCTGTTCACAGGGCCATTCTGTAAACCAGATTGCTGGTTTGCCCTCAGAAATCAAAGTTCTGGGTTTTTTTTCTAAATCTGTGTCACCTCACTTTTCAGAACAGTCTTACAACACAGCTGCTGGAGCAGTGAACTAGAAGCACAAACATCTGGGCAAGACATTTCTTGCCCTGTTTTTCCAGTAGAATAAAATCTATGCAATTGCACACAGAGTTCAAAGGGTTAATGAGTAGGAAGATGCATCTTGCTGGGAAAGAGCAGGCAGGGTAGGGGGGCAGAAAAGCCTAACTTTTATATCAATCAGTAACATTTTTAATATCTTTTTGTAGTCAACGATAGTCAGGTAACTAGTAATTTTCTGCTACAGGTAGACACGTAAATAAAGTGCCTACAAACCCCTTTTACAAAAAAAAAAAATTAAATGGACTTTTGTCAGTTTTCTAAGTGCCAACTTGCTGTTTTTCTAAGTTCCAACTTGCTCAGAGGTTTTCCAGAGGAATGAACAAATATCAGATGGGTCTGAGTGAGGACCCTCCTGACACTGCTGACTCAAAAGCATTTGGCACATTTCAAGATCAAGATTAGGAGGTTCAAGATTTAACAGAGGTTTTCCCATCCAAAATAATAAGATTGAGGACTGAATGTCACTCTTCTGGCCCAAACTGTACATGCAATGAATATACCTTGATTGAATTTGACCATACTGTCACCTAAATGCATGCGCACTCAGGTAATCATCTAAATCATCTATCCATGTACATAGTATTCTGACTGTCAGTGTCCTACAGTGTTATAATTGTCTTCTTCACTTAGTCCTTCCATTAATTTGCTGAGTCTTGTTTATAAATTTATCATAAGTCTTAAACAAAGAGTCTACCTGTCTCCTTTTACACCATTCCGAGTACTGATTATCTAGTTCTACGATATTGTAATTACTGTAACAGGGCAGCACCACCATACTCGTAACCCATGTTTACTAAGAACATCTAACCTGAGAGCAAAAGCAAATTGTCTGATCAATTGAACAATCACAGTTAAAGCAACAGAAAAGGACCAGTAAATAAAGTTAAATCATGGTTATACCTAAAATAACCAAACAAGTGAAATTATGCAAAATAGTTATGAATTATAGTCTTTTTCTGAGGTTTACATGAGATGAGTGAAGTGTAATACTGTCTAAACATGCAAAGCAGTTTATTTGTCCTTGTTGTTCATGCTTCACATACTGTGTATAAAGCCAGAATGAGTTAGGACTTAAATAGTTACTGTTTCCACTCTGTAAATGCAACTGTGCACTCTCCAGCACCACTGGCTACAGAATGGCACAAAAGAGCAAAAAAGGAAAATTAAAAAATACCCCCACCGCCACCACACCAGGAGTATTTATGAGCCTGGGAATACCAGAATTTGCTAATCAGCTAAACCTATAAAACAAAATAAAGATGCTCAGAGCACTTGCAGTTTGATTGTTTGTCTTAATGTTTTCAGGGTGGTGGTTTGATGCCTGTGGCCCCTCCAATCTCAATGGGATGTTCTACACAGCTGGCCAAAACCATGGAAAGCTCAACGGCATCAAGTGGCATTACTTCAAAGGCCCCAGCTACTCCTTGCGCTCCACTACCATGATGATTCGTCCCTTGGACTTTTAAAGGTGTTCAGTGGTGGATCCCAGAACAAACCAGGACGACAGTGCCCTCAGCAGCATGACTATTACAGTCTGAAGGTAAAAGATGAAGGACTTCTTGAAAGCAACACGTAAGGATGATGCAAAGTCTCTTCATTATCACACCATAACCTGCAAAAAATCTCCAACAGTCACCCCACATTTTGATGACTGGGGGAGGCTTGGTTTAGAAGGAGGTGGCTGCAGTGATTTTCCAGAGAAGAACAACTGGATCTAGTTATTCTGCCTGAATCTGGTGCTTGTCAGTGGATGTCCTTTTTTTTTTTTTTTTTTTTTTTTTTTTTAATAAGAGATGCAAAAACATATTAGATTATTCAGCAACAGCATCATAATTTGAAGAACTGAAGTGTGTCAACCATGGTCTATTGAGTAGAATGTTATTCAGCAGTGAAATGCCAACATTATACCCATGAATAAGGATTATGGAGGCACCTTTATTAAAACTCCTCTTAAAGCACTCAAGGTGACCACTCCAAATATTGTTTTTCTTAAATGAACTGAGTTTGAATGGTGGATGGATTTATGTTAATCCCAGAGTGAAATAATTTGTGCGAATATTATTTTTCATTAAATCCTTTAAGGACATGTTTCTCATAAATAAACTGAGTCAAACATATGAAGAATGATAAGGGTAATAAACATAGATTCTTCAGTTGCTCTGTAGAGGTAAATCAGATAATTGGCATAATCCCTGAGCTAGGATTTATAGTGTGATAGCAAAAGTAGCTGTGTTTTGAGGTTTTTCCCTTCTTTCATTAAAGGCAGTCTGAATGTCATGTAGAAAAATTAATGGAAGGTTTACAGAATGTGAAATATTATCCTAAAGAAAATATGGGATTTTGCATGGAATATTTCCATCAAAAGTAGACAGGAAGGCAAACTGTTAGGGTATATAAAAATTACATAAATGCATAGCTTAAGGCAATGGATTCATTTTACAGTATCCTTGCATGTGCGCAATTTATAATTAACTATTTTACTTTTTTATTACATTTTTGTGAATATCAGAAGCATGCCAGTTCTACACAGTGCTTAGGCTACAACTATAAAAAATACTCATCAGAACTGTATAGAAAATAAGGAATTGTGAACTTGTAAATAGCATGTTTATATTTCCTGTAATGGTCATTTAATTTGTACAGGCAGCCCTGACCCTACTCAAAGGGTGCAAAGCCTCAAAAGGATATAAATATTAAAAGAACTTTAGAAGTCTGCTTACAGGTTGCTAACAAGTAATTTTGTTATATTAAAATGTTGCAGAAGTGTGGGGCAAGATGCACAATTCAACTATTGGAAAAGATAAAGTTCCTATAATAGCAAGCAACAAAGTAGCTGGGTGGCCCATGAGGCTGTAGAGACAACTCTTCCCATTTACAGCTCCTTGTGATTTAGTCATATAGATAAAATCATTTGGGAAAGTAGCTTGCAGTCATTCTACTTCTGCTATATATAAAAGGAAGAAGTTTACCCTGATCCCACCAAAATCAAAAGTGCCATTCTCATTGATTAAACTGGGACCAACATGACACACAAAATCTGAATGTGGTGAGTTTTTTGCTTGTCTGTTTGTTGCTTTGTTTCATTCATTAAACTGTTCCTGACATCAGGCACAACAAATATCCAATTCTTTTTTTAAAGGATGATGATAATAGAGTAACTGGGTTTTTTTTCCTTTTTTTCCTCTTTTTTTTTTTTTCCTTTAGCAGTTTATTTCTGTGGAATAGAAAAAAACTGCTTGGATTTTTTTAAACACCTCTTCTTAAACATCACAAAGCCCCACAGGGTTCTCTGTTTTTGTTACAATTTGATGTTTATTTGGTTTTAAGTGGGAAGATCTTTGGTTTTGTGTATTTGTATATATTTATATATATATTTGAAATAATCTTGCCTAAGGGTTATTTGCTGTTTTGTGCTGAATAAGTTTCCAAACTACTCCTTACTCAGCAGTTTCTTCACAGAGCTATTTTGTCTCAGTTTCCAGCAGTTTTTCGAAATGGTCTTCATTTATGTGCAAAATATGTGGTCTGTCTTCCTCCATATTCTCAAAAGATATATCTCTTCAGGTCTCCAAGTTAGGAATGCCATTTTTGCAGATCCTATTGCAAAAGACAAAACACATTTAAAATCAAAAGCATGATATTTACTGTTTATTTATCTGGGTTTGAAAAAATGTGGATTTGGTTTCTTATCCTTTATAATAAAACATTTTAAAAAATTGCAGAGTCCATGATTTGCTTTACTTTCAGTATACCTTTCTGTGACGTGCTGACATTTTACAAGCCACCGTCTCTCCATATAAGAAATATTAATAAATTTACACAAAACCTAGGAAGGGAGTCTAATTAGAGTTTGTCCAGGAATTGATATTTCTAACCTTTCAAATCCATATTTCAGTATTTTTTGTTCAATTTCCTTTATTAAAATCATAGGACTATATTTCTCATTTTAAGTTCAAATCATACAACTCTCTATCAATCTTTAAAATAAAATGTTTCTTGAATTCCACAGGCAAAGATACAAATTGAAGTGTGATGCTTGTTTCTCTTGCCTTATGACATGTTCTTCTATCATCCGTTGATCATGTTACATGGCAGTGACAAATCTCCATTGATCTCTTAGCCAGAAATGCCTTTTGCTCCATTTGTATGCCTTTTAACACTACAGGGATCAGTTTTAGCATTTATTTGTAGTCAATTTATCCTCATTTTCTCAGGAATTTTTGCTTAATTGGACTTGTTCACTGTCTTCATTCAGACTAACCTAGCTTTTTAAATCAATACTAAAGCTGTGAGGAGCTACACACATAAAAGCACATTTTGCTCCTTAAGTTGAACATGTATATGCTGCATGAATTGAAGAGTTACAATTAGTAAAAATGGTATTTCTGGATTTGATTTATATTAAAATGTCACTTGCCTTGATAGATACTAAAATAATAGTCAGTGTTCAATGGTAATACTAGCTTTACTGTTTACCCTTCACAGATAAATTTCTTCCTGTTTTGTAAAACAGGAATGCACAAAAAATTCACAAATCAATAGCTGTGTTTTCCATAGCATGTAGATCCTTAATTTTTAATATCTCCTAAAGCTGGAGATGTAATTTAAATGCACACTTTTCTAAGTGCCCTAGCATCCAGTACTGGCCTATTAAGTAGGCAAGTCATCTACATTTACAATCATCTGTACAACAGGTTCCCAAGACACAGTTCCTTAAAAAAACCTTCCAGCTATAATAACAACTTTCTTCTCTGCAGACCTGCAGCTCAAACCACAGCTCTGACCATGCCTCAAATAACCTCGTTTGGGATTGGCACAGCACTCACTTCTCCTTTGGGAGGAACAAAACTGAAACAGCAATCACAACAAGAGCTTAACTCTCTAGATAGGATCAAGCTTAATTTACGGCCAGACTGTGCTGCAGTTGTGCCAGAAGGCATTCCTACCTACCCACTTTTACGCGAGCTGGACAACTTGAGGAGAGGGGCAGTAACCCCTGAATACAGCTGATGCTGCTGGTGTTGCCTGGCTGTGACCTGTGGTGCACACACACACAAATCCATATGTTTGAAGAAAGCTTGACACAGCCTATCAAAATGACCTTTTTAAAATTTTGTCTGGATGAACTGTAATCTCAGTGCAAAAAAAAAATCCTGAAAGCACCAAAAATGAAATAAATGAAAAGTGCAAATCCCAGCAGGAAGGGAGGATTAAGGGATAGCATGTGGAAGGCAGGGCAGTAAAAGCAGGAAAAAGAGAAGACAGGGTACGGGACTGTAATGAAGAGAGGGAAAAGACAGACAGATAGGGAAGAACTGAAGGGAAGGGATTACTCATGAGACATAGCAGCTCCATATTTCTTGTGCCACATCTGTCACACGATGTAGAAACTCCCTTCTCCTCCAAGAGTGTCCAAACCCTCCTGTCCCTGGCTCCTGCTCATAGGAGCAGGAACCTATGGGTCTCATTTGCTTTTGTATGCTTTGGGGGTTTTGTTTGTCTGTGTGCCTTTTTAATTTTTGCACAGGGAGCAATTTAGTATGGATCTCTGAGCAGACATGCTCCTTAATGATTATGTCAAGATAGCTCTGTAGCAAGTCCTTTAAAAACAGAAAGGCTCCTTTAGAAAATGCTGTATTTTGTTGTGTGAATTTTAAAGACTGATAATGAAATAAAACCTATGCCTGTTGAAAATCTTGTGAAATCAGAGCCTTTATTCATTCCACTAGCTAAAATTTCTGTTGGTAGCAGACCTTATTCTCCATACAAGTGGCCTGCACAGTTTTCTGAACCACTGAGTTCTATTAAAGAATGGATATATACTGTAAATATGACCTCCAAAAAACATTGATATATTAAAGTACATGAAGACCTAGACACCAGTTTTGTATTTCAGTAGAGAGAATCTTGAGCCCCAAAGCATTACCATAAATTTTCTTTCTCTCACTGTTTCTCACCTTTCTCCCACTTTAAGAGTGCCCCTCTGCCTCCTTTTAAACTGCTGGCAGTGCTTGCCTCCTATTGCCTCAAAGTAGTCACAGGAAGGCAAGCACTACATTTAACAGAAGACCAAAGACCTGCAGATGCTTATGTTCACAACCACAACATCACCTATGGGGAGAGCAAAGTCAGTGCCCACCAAACCATGGGGAAGGAACCTTTCTTGCTGGTCATTTGCTCTGCAGGGCCATGGAGGGAAAAATAGGAACAAATGCTCACAGAGGACCTTCCTTCTACTTAAACAGAAAATGGATGCTTTGCCAGGTCAGCACTCTAGGAGCGCTAATAGGACCCCAGAAGTGTAACTCGTAGGCATCTGCTTCAGCCCAGTAGGAAAAGGAGGGGAAAATACTCTGAAACAAGGAAAGGTAAAATTGGAGAATCTTGATACACTGAGAGAGGTAAGAAAGAGTTGGGGAAGAGTGAGAAAATGGCTGTTATAGGATAATACAGATAAGAATTCAAA